ACCTTCATTGGAATCCATGGTTACGCGGTCCCCGCGTTAACGCAGGACCGCACATGGATCCAAAACCCCGCGTTCTAGCAGGGGGCCGGTATATATAATTATTTTTAGGGTTTGGCATTTGTAGCAGTCTAAATAATATAAAACAACACACACACACACACACACACACACACAAATCTTGTTTAGCTAAAGCCCCCTTTGTCAAACCACCTCCACATCTAAAATTAGGCTATGTCCCCTGATATGAATCACTTACATTGAAGAGCCTCCAATTCATATGGATAAGCCTCTCTCATTCTGTTAATAAAACTGGGTTCTGTCACACAATAACCTAAGAAATTCCACAGTGCGCAGACTCCAATATGCAAAGTTTGGTAATTACAGTCAGCAAATGTAGTGAGTTGATTATTTGTGTGATGGTCCCTGACAGTTGTAGCTATTCAATACTGTACATGGCAAGTCCAAAATGCTATAATAGCCCCACAACTGAATACAGTTCGTGTCTATATTAACTGGGGTTGTCATCTCACCCACAAAAAAAATATTCTAGCATGTAAGAGTAGATCATGACTATTAATGAAGTAGATATAATTGTACAGGAAATATCTATCAGGCAGTATTTCATACATGACTACAGTTCCACATTCTGTTAAAAGGACATTATCAAAAAAATCACACCATAAAATACTGAATCTATGTTACTAAGGCAACAGATTAATAAAACTAATAAACTTACCAGTCTAATTAAATTTTTTACTTTTGTACCATATTTGCATTTCAATTTGAAAAAACAGTGGTCAGAGGCAATTCCTGGTTCTCACACACTAACATTTATACTTTTAGAGTTCATAATATTATAGAAAAATGATTGACAAAGTTTTAACTGACTTGTTTAATGCATGCAAATTGTCCTATTCATCTTTAGTTTTAAGACTAAGATTTTAGACTAAATATAAAGAACAGTGCAAAATCTTGATCTTAAAACAAAAAAGATGCATTAAACAAATCAGTTAAAACTTTGTCCTTAATCATTTTTCTATTATATTATAAACTCTAAAAGTATAATGCTACTGTCTGACAATAAATGATTGTGTCCCAGCCTCAAAAAGAGACATACACCTCTACCCCGATATAACGTGACCCGATATAACACGGGTTCGCATACAACACGGTAAAGCTCTGACACGCTGCTCTGAGCAGCATGTTAAGGGTGCCGGGACTGAGGGGTTGGATAAGGGGCAGAGGGTCTCGGGGGCGGTCAGGGGCTTCCCGCCCCCAGGGTCTAGGAAGCAGAAGCTGTGGGGGGTCAATTTGGGGGGCCCCCGCAGTCCCAGAGTGGCCCGGGGGATTAGCGGGGGGCCGAGAGCAGCCTGCTCTGCTTCCCTCGCCCCGGCCCCAGCCGTGTCGCTTGGGGGACACAGCTTGGGGGGAAGGGATCCCCACCGCACTCACCGGCAGCGGCGGAAGTGGAGCAGCCCTGCCCCAGCCCACTCCACTCCGCCAGCTCCCAGCCGCGGCGCTCCGCTTCCCGCAGCAGGTGAGTACAGGACCTTTCCCAACCCACCCCCTGCACCCCGAGCGACACAGCTGGAGCTGGGGCAAGGAAAGCAGAGCGGGCTGGGGCCGCATCGCTCTGCTTCCCGCTGCCGGTGAGTGCGTCCTTTCCCCAACCTCCCCGCACTCACCGGCGGCAGGAAGCGGAGCGCCGCGGCTGGGAGGTGGCGGAGTGGAGCAAAGTGGACTGGGGCCACGTTGCTCCGCTTCCCGCCGCTGCGGGTGAGTGCCTGTCAGGGGGCAGGGATAGGGGTCGGAGTGGTCAGGGGAGTTGGGTACGGGGTGGGGTCCTGGGGGTGATTAAGGACAGGGGTCTCTGGAGGGGGTGGTCATGGAACAAGGAACAGGGGGTCAAAGCAAGTTCGATATAACGCGGTGAGATTTTTTGTCTCCCGAGGACCGCGTTATATCGGGGTAGAGGTGTAGTTGAAATAGATTACTTTTAAGTTTGCCTAATTCTCTACCTAAAGACAAGTGTGAATATGATGCATACTTTCTCTTTCCTGCTGCTCTGTTCCGTGACGCCCAAATTTACGTTCCCATAAACCCTACTTTTTTCAGAAGAAAGAGTTATATTAAAATATGTTTCACTTTATTGTTTAATTAACTCATAGATTTTGGCAAGATTTACAAGTTCATAAAGGTAGGTCAAACGTTTGGCCAACCATCCTTAATAACGTTGCTTTATGCATAATCCTGTCCTGGATAACTGAAAAACATTTCAATTTAGCGCATCATACATGTCTCTCTATTGGTAAAAAACAGATGAAGGCTTTAAAAACAAAGATTTGGTAATTCATAAAAATAGTGACAAGAAATATAGTATATAAACAAACTATAGACAAAACTGCTGCTAATAAAACAGCTTTCAGAGTTTTTCGTAGAGATGTCAACTGTTATTTTTAACTGTAAAAGGAAATTCCATTGCTCAAGTGTGCAAAGACTTACCACCCAACAACAACTTAAACCCTGATCCTACATCCAGGTTGAGCTAACTGCAGCAACACCTAAAAAGCAGATGCAGGCCCCTATAGGTTAAGAGGGTAGTTTTGAAGTATATATGTATATAGTGGCAAAACTTGAAATGAAGCCAAACATCTGAGAAAAGATTTTTTGTGTTTTGAACGTTTGAATGTTACCTGCATTTCACAAAATACTAATAACTTTCCCTGCAGGTCTATTATCATCTTTTTCATCTCCTTACAAGTTAAAATTAGAAAAGTTATTTATCAAAATAAATACAAATGCCAGATAAACTGAGAGAAAATGTTACTAAGATGCTTTCACTTTCATCTGCTGTATAGTTTCTCTTTCATAGCCAATGTAATTCATGAATCCACATGGGGTTTAGCTGCCTCAGTTAATACTTTAAATGTTAAAATTGCACCTTTCATCAATAGGGGTTAAACATTTTGGCAGTAGAGTTAGAACAGAACCCAGGACCTAATTCCCAATTAACTGCTGCAGAAAAAAGGACAATCTCAGGGTCAGGGATGATTTCCCTCAGCATGCTATTTGTGTTTTATGAGCAACTCTGACAGGTCTTATTTCAAGTCAATTTTTATAACTACGTTATCTCTCTATTTGAATGAAGAACGTGTCAATCTGCATTTTGAAATAATATTTAAAATATCACTCACGTAAGAATACCCTTTGAAGATAACTATTGTTAACCGTTACTATCAGTCCTGGTATTTCAACTTGTGTGACCAATACTCACCCTTCCCTCCATCTCAGAGATTAACCTCCATGCTGATTCTCCCCTAATCCCTGGAAGGATAGAATTGCCCTAGATACAATATTTACAAGATAAATGGCCAGTTCAAGAAAAACTGAGGCCTGTGGAAAACTGTACAATTCTTCCTCTCTCATTAAAATCTTAAGATTCAGTGAACACCATCTTGCCTCACTTGACCTTAAATACCCTGCAGTTAATTTAGGGTAGAAGGAAAAACACAATGTGTCCAGAACTGGTGTGTGTATTACAAGAGTTACAGGTGGAGGTTTCGTATTGTCACTTAAAAAAAAATCACATCAACAAACACGTTTCTTTGCTCGGGTTACTAACCACACCTCAGTGTATTAGTCAAGTAAAAATATTACGTTATTTATGCTCTGTTTACTTTCTGCACTTTGCTCAGTTTAGACAACTTTGATGCCAAAGCAGTTGGCCTTACAGGTGTTTACAGTCCGTGTGGCTCTCAGGGGCTCAGCGCTGCAGGGTCTGGGATTTCACACGTTGCTAGAGGGCTGAGCTTCACACAATCAAAATGAAGGGGGAGAAGGGGAGATGCGCCTCACGCAGGTCTCCGAAGTAGGAGGGGCCACCTCCCTAGTGCCCAGGGGCTAGGATACCCCTCCAGCACGTCAGCCTATCCCCAGCGGGAGCCGACAGCCTAAACCGGCCCGTAGCACCGGATGGCACGGGGCGCGCCATGACCCCCGGCAGGCAGCACCGCAGAGAGTGGGGAGAGCGGGAGGGGGAGGCTGTGACGCAGGCTGAGCCCCCATCCCCGCGAGCTCGGGCGGGCACTCACCGCTCATGATGCCCTGAGTCCGGTCCCTCCCCGGTACTGCAGCTAGCCCCCCTGCTCCCGCTGAGACAGCTCCACGGAGGGAAGCGGGGCCGGGGACACACAGAGCGGACACCCCGCCCCGGAAGTGAAGCCCCGCCGCCCCGGAAGGTAAATACTGGAGCCTGAGGGCGCGCGCGAGAGAGAGCTTCGACATTCCCTCCGTCCGCGCCGCGTGCGCTTCCCCAACCGCCTCGCAAGAGCGCTGAGAGCTGCCTGGCCTGGGGAAGGGCGCTCTCGCTGCGGGGTCCTGTGATGGCCCCGCTCCTGGTGGGCGGGTCTCTGGCTAGCTCGAGGGCAGGGTCTCCTGTGCCCCGCTCACTGGGGGAAGGGCCTCATTCAGCCTCTGGCCGTTCCCAAGGCCCCACTCCCAGAGCCGTTTGGGGAGGTGGAGGGCCTGGGGCTGCTTGGAAGCAGAATAATAACCACTTCAGTGGGAGATTCAGGTCCAGTTTTCTCTGCTAACTAATTACCTGGGTTAAAGAATCAGAGGCAGTCAAGGAAAAGGAAAGCTGGTGCTGTCAGAAAGCAAAAGGCCAGGTCAAGATTGTGGCACTAGCAACTTCAGCTTGGGGAGAACTGGGGTATCCATGCAAACTTTGCATCATGCAGGTTGTTGTGGTTTTTTGGTAAGGTGAACCAAAAAGCAGAATAGATTATCAATTGTGAACCTTGTTTCCACTCCTGAACATAGAAGTGCTGCAAAGCCTGATCTGAACTTCATTTCTTGGGACCGGCCCCTTCTGATGGAACTAAAGTAGAAACCTACATCTACACATTCACAGTTCAAGCCTATCTAGCGGCAGCATGAAGCAGCACTTGAACTCCAAGCCATTCTACTCTTAGAAACATAATCATCCAAATGTGAACATCCACAATAGATGTAGTCCTGTGGTAATTTGGAAGCTTCTGCAGTATTTCTTTTCTAATGTGCTTCATAAAGCAACTTCCCCTTCACTGATTCTTTGCATGTACAGATAATGGTTTCAGAGCAAAGCGGTATCTTCATAATACTAATTTGAAATTATAAATACCATATATAAATAAAAGATGGGTTAAACTAGTGAAAAATAAAATATTCTAAACTTTTAAATACAGGTGTCAGGTATCATTTAACCAAAAATAATCCCAAATTGTTGAGGTTTCAAAATACACAGCACCAAGAATAACTACAAAAGTAATTGGAAAAACTAGGTACCAAAGCAAATAAGAATAAAATCTTTCTTTGATTAAGGGCTATATCCACACATAGATCCAAGGACTTGTACAGGTCCCAAGCACAAATGAAGATTAATGCAATTGTTGTAACAGAAACAGTTACGGTACATCTTATTTAGATTCTCATGATGTATGGCTAGGCCAAAATTTTCAGACTTGTGTGGCCTGAGTTACGCATCTAAATCCATAATTAGACGCCTAAATATGTGGCCTGTGTGTCAGAAGTGGAGAGTGTGATGTTAAGCAAGTTTCTTAATCTTTTTCCTTTCAGTTCCTCAATTTCCCCACCTTTAAGATGTGGGTTATTCTTGTCTTAATTCACTCATGATTGTTCGTTCACTCTGAGATCCTTGGATGAACAGTGCTCTAGTAGTACAAAGGTGATTATTGCTGAGCACAAACAGCCTTCATTGACTTCAATGAGAACTGCAAGTGCTCAGCAGCTATGAAAACACTTATTTAGGTGCCTAAGCATACCTAATTTGAGGTTGAGTTTTTAGCATGTAGCTAGTTGATACTACTAGTAAATCCCTGCTAAGTACAAATAGATCATTATGGAGCCCATGCTAAAATAGGGAGATTTTACATTTTTTGAAAATGTTTGATTCATAAAAGAAAGCCCTCCTCTACTATCAGAAATCAGATTGGCAATTAGAGGCTATGCAATACCATCTCCTCTTCCAGTATAGCTCACAGCTGCTATCTTAACTGGGTATAACTGCATATTCCATAAATGTATCCAGTATTAGAGCACTTCCTTTGCAAGCATTCCCATTTTCATTGGGCCCCAAAGTCTCAGAACCTGGATCTCTGAAGTGGTACAAAAGTGATGCTACATACCATTTTTTTTTTTTTTGCACCTCTCAGTACTACAAAAACATTTTGTACAAGATTTATTTGTGTGACATAGTCATTAAATATATATTTGAGCTTGCTTATTGATGGCATTTATGCACATCCAACCTTTTGTCTAGTAAATATAGTCTTTAATGATAGTGCAGAAAAGTTTTCCCCACATAAGGGTTCTTATAGCTTATAAGTTCCAGTAAATAGCTCCCAAGAGAGACTAAAATTAGAAATAATATAATACCAATTAAAGTTAAATGCAAGAGCTATAAAGAAACCACATATACTATCCTTCTCTACTGACAGCAAATAATAAAATTTATGAGTATACTTATACTGGATGATCTGATTGATTATTATGTAGTAAAAAATGCTTCCATTTCCCTATCACAGAGTCATCATAGCACCTGGAATATAGCTGCAATATTCAGAAGTCTTTGTGGTGACCAGAACAGTAGCTCCTTCCTCTGTCGCTGGTAATGGGAATGAAGTATCAAAGCCAGTTTGGAGTTTCACCAAGTCACAGTCCCCGCAAGTGCATTCCTCCACTGAATACATCAGTGATGCTTCACTTTGGAGGGAATCTCCAATTATATCTGTATTCACACTGGTCTCAATATCAGCCTTGAGTATAACATTCAGCTCCACTGCAGACTCTATGAAGATATGAAAAGATATTTTAGTTCACGTGTCATGCTATCTCAGTAGTAAAGTCAAGTCATAGAATCTACTGAACGTGTCCCCCGCTCCCGAATTTAGGATGGGCATGTATGGAATCTATTATATATATACTATCATATACACAAATAAAATTAACAGAAGCATGTTTTGCTGTAAATATCTATGGATATGAAAAGGTCCAAAATTAATTTAATTCTTTCTGCCACAGGGAAAATATCCTTTATATATGGCTTTGAGAGGCTACAGGGTTGAATCAAGTCAATTTACACTTTACAAGCTGCAAGGCTAATCTTCCATTTTTATTCTCCCTCCGGGTAAAATTCCTTTTGACTTCAATGGCAGGAAGGACTGGGCCTTAATAAAGAAATTCTGTTAAGCGTTTATAGCAATTTTCCAATGCAAAATAGGATAAGCAAGTTAAAAATATATATTGAAATAAAAAAGCAAATGTGATTCTGTAGCCAAGACCAGCGGGCTCCTAACTACTATTGGCTATAATATGATATCCTTATTATATTGGGAAGTACTTTTTGCCACAGTTAGCCCCATTGACTTTAGTTCATCTATTTGTGGAATAATGTACTCTCCAACATGAGTAAAACTATCAGAATCTGGTGATGTAGGCTATATTAAACATTATAAATTAAAATAACATAGCAGAAATTCACAACAATCTGAAAATATTTTACAAAGAATTGTATTTATTGACAATCATATTTTGTACCTGTGTTTTTCAGTTCTTCCTTTGATTGTTTTGGGTGCCGCATTTTAAACAAGACCATTAATATGAACACTGTGAATGTTAAAATCACTCCTATTCCCAAACCGATCCAAAGAATTGCATCTGATACTTTTACTTGACCTGTAGTACCTTTTAAAATAAAGGAGACATATTATGTACATTAAAAACAACAAGCAATTAATATATAAATACGTGGCCTAATCTATAAGCCTCTCACATCTCTAAGGAATAATTTCTTTTTCTGGTGAGTGACAGCTAGGTAGCTTGAAACATTTACTTTTCCTAACATAGTTCAGTTGATATATAAAATACTGTGTTTAGGTCTTCAATCTTGTACAGATTTTATACTTGGTCTTGTAAACTTTAGTGTCATTTTTCATGGTTTATATTTAGAATCAATGCAAAGTATAAATGTGAAAATGCACAGCACAAACAAATAATGTTACAGAATTGGTACTTACTCTCATTACAATAGCTCTGACATGAAAAAGGTGGCTTACTGGAACATCGAAGGTGACAGGGTATACAAGATTGCAGCAAGCTGTCAAAATACTCATTTTTGAAGCAATGTTGAGCCATCGGGGTCAGTAATTAGTGAACTAGGAAGCCACAGAAATGGTTAAAGAGTAAGGACAAGCTAAGGAGGAAAAATGTTTCCACTTCTCACTTTGTACAAACAGTAGTAAGTGTGGCCAGCAACACCAGCTAAATATCAAGGTTCTTCTTTAAAAGAGTATATTAAATAATAGGGATTTCACCCTGAGGCTTCTCAAGGGACTCTGTCTGCTCATTTGAATAGCAACTGCAGATTCAAGTTTCTAGAAGGACCATCCAGCTGGATGGAAGTAATTTTCAATGTAAATTCTGTCTGAAACAGAAACTGATTATTTATAGAGGACATTTCTCAAGCAGGTGCTAAACACTACACACTGTAGAAAAAGTCTGAGGATGCCTAAACAAGCATTTTCATTGACAGGTAGTCCCTTTCTTTAGGAGTTTGTTGTATTCTTTCTCTCGAACTGATGGATCCATACCAATTATATCTCATTCTAGACTGCAAACTTCTCCATGAAGCATTGGTTTAATTTTTATTCTTTTCTGTTCCATTGCCACCACCAAACAACATACTGTATTGTTGATGAATAGAGGAGAAAAAAGAGGACAAAAAGAGCCTGTGTTGTCTAGTGGATAGAGAAGGGGGCAAAGTCAGTACACCTACAGAATGTATGCTTGGTGAGGCAGGTGCTGTACCCCTCCTCCTCTCGGATCCTCCGCTTCCCATTCGCTGGGCTGGGAGGGTGGGCGGGCTGATTGTTTCTCAAGTTCCCTTCCCTGCCACCTTTTTAAACAACTCCTCAGCTTTTCAAGCTGCCCTGCCCTTCCTCTCCTTACTTGCAGTTTTTGGATGCTGCAGATCTGACCTATTGCTGTTTTGGGGTCAGGATTGAATTTTTCCCATTGGCCCAAACTGGCCAAGGTCTGCTGGGTTTTTTTGTTTGTTTTTTCACTTTCTTTGCAGTATCATGGAGGCAAAGTAGCATTGAAAGGAATAGGACTTGAAAGTGTAATAATAGGACGTTTATGATGACTGTTTAGCTCATTGCAACTTGCAGCTAGTGTCCAGCATGGATAAACGCTAAAAGGGCCAACTCCCAGAGGTAAATGAGGCCT